AATAAGACATCTTAATACAAGTATTTATAGACAACACAAGATTGCAACTAATCTAACTACCTAGCTAATCTTCTGCCAAGTGTCATAATCTCAGACACGAACATAATATCTCTATCATCACCCTCAAACTCATGCTTGGATGATACTAGCATGAGATTGCTACAATGTGTATGAAACGAAGGGGCACTCAATCCCTTAGTTAGAATATTTGCAAATTGTTCCTTGGAAGAGACAATCTGAACATGGAGTTAATTCTTGGCAACCCGTTCTCGAACAAAGTGAACATCAACTACGATATGTTTTGTTCTTTGGTGTTGAACGGGATTGAAAGATAAGGCGATGGCCGACATGTTATCACAAAACAGAACTGGAACATAAGGGACTTTAATCTGCAGAAAGCTGAGAATTTGCTTAATCCAATCAAGTTCTGCAGCTGTAGAAGATAAGGCCCTATACTCGGCCTCTGCGGAAGACTTAGAGACAGTTTGTTGCTTTTTTGAGGACCAAGATATAGGATTACTAGCCAAGTAAACAACCAACCCAGTGGTGGATCTTCGAGCATTAGGATCGCCTGCCTAATCAGCATCACTGAATGCTTTAATGTCCAAATCTTAACTGGAATAAGCCATATGCCATAGTACCCTTAAGATATCTAAGAATCCTCTTGACTGCAGTCTAATGTGAGACCATAGGACACTGCATAGACCGATAGACTTGGTGAATTGAGAAAGCAATATTAGGCTGGGTAAAAGTTAAATATTGTAGAGCACCGACAACACTCCTATAAAGGGTAGGATTGTTGTATGGTTCACTATCATCCTTAAGGAACCTATTATAAGGTAAGCAAGGTGCATCACAAGGTTTAGAGTCGACCATTTATGTTTTAACCAACAGATTAAGAACATACTTTTGCTGTGAAAGAAACAAACCAGTTGCAGTTTGAGAGATTTGAATACCCAAAAAATAATGTAGAGAACCTAGGTCTTTGATATCAATCAGAGGTCAAGGACTGAATAACTTGTTGAATAGCCATAGAATCATTACCAGTGATAGACATCATCCATGTAGAGTAACAAAATAACCAAGGTGGAACCAACAGTTTGCACAAACAGTGATGAATCGGAATAAGTATTCTGGAACCCCAACATAGGAAGAAAAATAGTAAATCTCTCATTCTAGGCTTTGGGAGCCTGTTTCAAACCATAAAGAGATTTATGAAGTTTGTAGACCAAATTAGGATACGTAGAATCCTCAAAACCAGGAGGTAACACCATATATACTTCATCTTGTAAAATGCCATGTAAAAAAATCATTTTTTACATCCAATTGCCTAAGAGACCAACTGAAATAAGCAGCTAAACCCAACATTATCCTCATTGTTGTAGGTTTAATATTAGGACTGAAAGTTTTAGTATAATCAATCACAGGTTCTTGACTAAACCTTTTTGCTACCAACTAAGCCTTATGTCTAGCTATAGTACCATCAACATGTTTCTTAAGCTTGAATACCCATTACAACCTACCAAATTCTTGTTCTGAGGTAAAGGTACCAAACTCTAAGTTTTCTGAGTATGAAGTGCACCAATTTCTTCCTTCATAGCATCTAACCAAACTGGACACTTGAGAGCTGACTTATAAGAACTAGGTTAAACCAGAGAAAGATCACTTGCATTGGCTGACTGTAAAGCGGATACAAGTGCTTTCTTTTTTATTATCCCACTTTTGCTTCTAGTTTGCATAGGATGTAGATTCATAGGTGGAATTGATAATACTACTTGAAGAGTGCAGGACAATGGACAGGTGCCACATGGATCTCAAAGTGTTCAGTTTCTGTAGTAGTAATGGACTGAGATACAGGAAATAAAGGTAGACTAGTACTAGGTGAGAGTGATGGTGAAGATGGGATTGAAGATGACGCATGAGAGTTGGAAGGCATGGAAAAGGAAGTGAACTCTGTAACTGGTGCAGATATAAGTGAAACTACTAAGTTGTTTGATGTCACAACTGGTATTGGTAAAGACACATAAGATGTGGGCAAACACACAGATGATGTGGTATTGGTATTGATAGTGGATGATGTCAATTAGTCTTCAAAAGGAAACTCTTGTTCACAGAAAAATACATGTCTTGATACATAAATTTTCTGTCTAGCAACCTCATAACCCAATAACCCTTTGTATTTAGAAGTATACCTTAAAAAGACACACTTAGTTTTTTTGGGTTGTAACTTGGTGTTATTGTAAGGTTTAAGAAGTGGATAACAAGCACATCCAAAAAATTTCAAATGAGAGAGAACTGGAACATTACCATTTAGTAACTCAAACGGAGATTTGTGAGATAATAATAGAGTAGGCATTCTATTGATTAGGTAAGTGGTTGTTTGACAAGCAAAACTCCAAAAATGAGAAAGAATCTGAGCATTTTGAAGCAAAGTAATGGTGGTTTCAATAATATGTCTATGTTTTCTCTCAGACAACCCATTTTGTTCCGAGGTGTATGGACATGATTTTTGATGGGAAATGCCTTTCTCAACTAGAAAAGACTAAAACTTAGTACTACAATACTCCCATCCCCCATCACTTTGTAAAGTCTTCATACTAGCAGAAGATTGACTCAACACATAGGCATAAAAAACAATAAAGGTAGGACAAAGATAAGATTTATTGATAAGTGGGAATATCCATGTGTATTTAGTACATTCATCAATAAAGGTAACGTAGTACCTATATCAATCGACTGATGTACAAGGTGTAGGACCCCAAAGGTTACTATGCACTACATCAAAGGGAATGATAGACTTATTGACAGCGGATTGAAATGGTAGCTTACAAAATTTTCCTTCTAAGCAACTTTGACACACAACAGGTACAAAATCTTTGGCACACGGAATTTTGGACTTATGAAACATCAAAGAAACAATGGAATTAGAGGGATAGCCTAACCTACTATGCCATATATTAGAATTGACAAGTTGTACAAGAAAAGCTTTGGCTTGTAGCTTTGACTGAGGTACACCAAGATTAGAAGTAGCTAAGGAATGAATGGGGTAAAGTCCATTATTGCATAGCCCTCGGAATAAGATCCTCCCTATGGCTTTATCCTATATCCAGAAGCAAAAAACATCAAAAATAAGGTAGTAATTATTGTCCAGACGCAACTTGTGAACCGAAAGCAGATTCTGTGACAATTTGGGAACATATAACACAAAATTTAACTTTGCACATAAGTATTAAACATAGTACTACCAATATGAGACACTTTCAAACCTTCACCATTAGTTGTTTGAATGGTTTCATTGAATGGATAGGGGGAAGCCAATGACAAGTTGCTCAAATCTGTTGTCATGTGATTAGTCGCACCGGAATCAGTAAGCCAAGCCTGAGAGGTAGTATGTGATGTATAGGGTTACGATGGTTGAGCAACCACAGTGTGCATAGCTTGCATTGATGGTTGTGAGTGATATTGCTGCCCATTATAAGCAGGAACTGAACTTTAAGGAAAATTGCCATATTGTGGTCCAGCATAAAAGCCATATTATTGTCCAGACATGGGAGAATAGTGAGAACTAGAGCCAATATCGTTCGATCCTTTCTTGGTGTAAAAATAAAACCATGTGGCATGATTGGTTTTTCCATAGATGTCACATTGAGGTCTGGTAGGGGGCGTTGAACCACAAAATGGTGCTGTGTGACACTCATTGTTACACAATTGGCATGTAACAAATGATGGAGCAAAAGGTTCATAAGTGGAATGTGGCGCTTGTCCAAGTACTCCTGGAGTGGGAGTAGGAAACACATGAGTCTGAGGTTGATAAAATGGTTTGGAATGAAAGTTTCTGGAACCTTGAGTAAACTTTCCCTTGCCCTTGTTTTTATATTGATTGAATTGCTTGAAACCCCTTTGAACACAATTAGACTATTCAGAACCAACAGAAAAAGGCTGAGATTGACCTTTAGGTGCCTGTGATGAATTGTTAGCAACCATTGCAGCTAAAAATGGTGCATTTGTCCTAGAATCAATGATGACCTTTTCTGCAAGTAACTGAGATCTGAATTCTTTGAGAGAAATGACTTGTTCTCTTCGTCGAATGACAGTTCGAAAAGTATTATACTCAGCAGGCAACCCATTTAAAGCCAAAATCACTGTATCTTCATCAACAAATGAAACACCCATAGCAATAAGATAATCCCTAGCAACTTTTATCCTTTGCAGATACCAAGCCACAATATTAGTACCTTTCTTAATGTTCTTTAAATTCGACTTCATTTGAAAAATACTAGTTCGAGAAACCGTAGAAAATTGCTCCCTTAATTGAGTCCAAAGATCTCGAGAACTAGTATTCATTATAGCACAAGACATGGCTACCGGAGATAAAGTTGCAGTAATTAACTGCATAATCACCATAAGTGGATGAATTTGACATATCCACACCAGAATTAGCAGATTAAGATGCACAACGAGCAGGACAAGGGATAGAGCCATCAACAAATTCCATGATACCATTACTCTCAAGTAATAATTGCATTTGAAAATGCCAATTAAGATAATTGGAGTCATCAAGCTTAACATTCACCGAAGTAGGAAGCGATGAAATAAGCGCAGTAATTGGAGATTGGAGCAATTGCAATTAACTAGCAGTAACCATGATTCAAGAAATCAAGTCACAAAATCTAGGATACAAAAAGATACCTCTTAATGGTGAATTCACAAACACTTGGAGTGCAAGAAAACAGAAGAGAACAGAATGAGGATTCCGATCAGAAATTGTAGAACGTCAAAACCCTAGAAACTTGTAGAAGAAGAAATCGAAGAGACAAAGCACAATTCAGCAATTGCACTTAAAGCTTTGCAGTAATTTGAGAGAAGAGCGGAAGCTTGTGAAGGATCAACGGCGATTGATACCATGTCAAGCTAGAGGGAGAAACAAGTTTCGTATATGAATAGAGAGAGAGAGAGAGAGAAAGAGGAGATTCATATAGAAGAGAAAGAGAGGCTGAATATTTATTTGGTATATTATTTCTTAGTCAATAAGACATCTCAATACAAGTATTTATAGAGAGCACAAGACTACAACTAATCTAACTACCTAGCTAATCTTCTGTCAAGTATCATAATCTCAGACACAAACATAATATCTCTATCACTAATGATGATATATACATGACTAAAATTGGTTTATCTTAAGCATTCTCGACGGACTAAGCAGCCTATAGGCACCGCCAAGCGTCATGGATGCACGAATTTAGACGACGTGCGGGGCTGCAAAGCATCAACGAACCATAACCCTTAACAAACCCACAGTTAGGAGTACTAACTTCCTCACTGCTCTCCATCTCAGCCAACACTTTATAAAACAAATCCACATCACAAGGAAGCAAAATCGGACCTTCGCAATTGTAACCGTATTCCATTTCGGCATCATCCAGCAGCATCTTAAACAAGGAATGATTCGCAAACTCCGTCTTCACTGCAAATCGTTGTCTTTGCGGTCCAACGTAGACCGAAAAACACCCGTCCGGAGCTACCAGGCCTTTGATCTTCCTAGTACTGGAACTGCAGTGCCATGACTTGCTCTTTGTCAACGAGTTGTGTACTTTGCTGCTGCTCTTTCTTTGTAAACTCCATCGCTTCCACGCGTTGGCGATCAGATTCTTCTTCCACTTTCCCTTTATGATATCCATCTATATGAAGTTTTACAAGAAAATATAAATATGTGGATTTAGAATCTGAGGACCTCTGAGGACCAAACACAAGAGATTTATATATGAAAGTGTGTGTATAAATATGTATGCGTGTATCTATATATTTGTGTATATATATGCTTGAGAAGTTGAGAAATCAGATGAGGGAATTGTTCACAAAGCCCCATCCTCAGGTAAACACTCCTAATAATATGGGAGATCGTCAACTCTTATAGGCTCATAGATTTTGAAAAAATATATGAATTGTTTAAGGAAATAATGTGGAGAAAATAGAAAGGGCCACTTCCTTTTGTCTTTCAACAGCAACGTATGCTAGCTAGGGTTAATGGAGAACAAGATAATGAAAGGAAAATAAACATAAAATATAAAAATAAATAACAACATTAACACTTTTTTTTTGGGGGAAAATCTTGACGGTGTTAGGAAAATTTTATTGATAGCGAAAAAAGGAGTTATACCTAATCAATGAGATATAAATCTTACCCTTCATAAAACAGATACACTAAAAAGGATTACACACACAAAAAAAAAAAAAAAAAAAAAAAAAGACATAAAGCTTACCTTCCTAGAAACATAACAATATCAACACATGTTTGATTGCAAAATAAGCAAATAAGACAACTACATATATATTTGAATTTAGTTTAAGGTAAGCGACCTAGAAGAATATTAACATGAGATAATCAAAGCTTTTGTCAACTTAGTAATATTTGGAGGCCAAAAATGCCACGTAGTGAGTGGTGGTAGGTTAAGTGAGCTTCTTGGAAGTCTTGGTGTTCAATTCTACTCCAACACCTAGCTAGGCGGAATCCCCAGAAATGATTTTATCCTTAACACATGGTTTTTGTCTGCACCAAGATATATTTTTAGTCTTTGCATAAAGTTCTAGGGCTGTATTATTTTTAACTAAGAGCATCCGACACGTATTATCTAGGATCGATGAAAGATCAACTTATGGGTGGCTGCCATCATGACATTGAATGGGTCATCATACCCTCGTTGGGGAGTAGATGAGTTCATGTTTCATTGGTTTCCCATTTATAAATCAATAAAAAAAAAAAAAATTGTTATTGGCATTCCAAATTTTTCATTCTACATTCCAAACTATATTTAGAAAGAAAAATACAATTGTGAGGAGTGTAGAATGAGATTTTTAAAGTGCCAATAACACTTCCCTAAAAAAATTTCATCCATTTTAGAAATGTGCGGAATATTGAAATGAATAAGTTTCTGTATGAGTAATCCACTTTATATCTCTAATTGGACAAAAATAAATTTCATTTCTACAACTAACGGACCTTGGTATTGTTTGGTATGCAGACGGGACGGGACGGAATGGAATGGGACGGGACAGGACAGGACGGAACGGAACGGAGCGGGAGCATAGATGCCCTCGGATGGAAACAAGGAGGAAGAAGAAGGAGACGGAAAGGTTATAATTTTGTGTTCCACGGATGTGGAACGAGTCGTTCCAGGGGGGTGAGGTGGAATGAAAATTCACCAAAAACTCGTCCCGTGGAACAGCTCGTTCCACCCGTTTTAGGCGCACCAAACGTGGGACGGAACGCTTTGTCCCACTCTTTTCCGTCCTGTCCCACGTACCAAACGGTACCTGAAAGTAGTGATTATCCATAGTAACCAAGCATCTATAAAGAGTCTCCATTAAATTGTTTTTAGGTTGGACCAGTTCTAATGACGTGTTTAATTATTTTAGAGGGAGCCCAAATCATCATGAATTGATAACATCTAATCAATTCTAATTTGTGATTTCACATGTACTAAATTTTGTATTATTTGTAATTTGAGATTTATGTATTTTGATTTCTCATGTGATATCAAACATAAGGAAGTTAAAAATTGAAATAATCACACATTTTGATATTTATGTTCCTTTGACTAAGTATAATTTTTTTTTTTATTATATTAATAAAATTATCTAGTATCGCAAAAGTAATCCAAAAATAAAAAGTAAATGTATCATAAAATGATATTATAGTATTTATTTGACATGGTAATAGAATGTACCATCAGGTGTCATGACTCTCATGTGCTTCATTTGATCTAAGAAAAGTTTTCCAAATATATTTTTTTTCAAATGAATCACATGCGAAGTGTTACAAATCATGATCATGATGTGGATTAGTGACGATTAGCAATTTAGAATTGTGTGATCATTGTAAACGTATATACATCCCCCCTTTATGCCAATTTGAAAGACTTTGGAAAAAATGATGACCGGGTGAAAGCAACCCAATCAAATTATCACCAATAACTTAAATTAGCCGTCACCACTCACCAATGCTTGGATGAAACATTCTTCAAATCATATGCGATTGTCTCTCACTCCAGCAGCAACTTGTCTGTATTATAAAGATTTACCTCCTTCATACGAAGCTCCTTTTGTCTTTTGGTCTACCTTCCATTATTTTATTAATTTTACTACTCCTTCATGCATGCAATCATTGATTTATTGGGGCTAATCTGAATTTGTTAATTTATATACCTTCTTGAAAGTGACTTTATCTGATTACTATCAATGTATACATGTGGTTAATTGTACGAAATAGCTCGGCCTAGATGGGTATATGCCCCTGAATAGTAAGCAAAACAAAAAATAATAAGTTTTTACATGTAGCTCAAGTAGTGAAGGAGTATGAATCAATAAATTGGAACCATTCGAACATCATAGGGAAGGAGTATCAATCAATAAAATATGGATAATGCTTGGGTGCTTCATTGGGAGACTTACTTATCCTCTCACTTAGATTAACGAATCTTTACCGTCTGAACAATATAATCGATATTGTTCATTCTCATTATCATCATCTTAAAATCATATTTGCAAAAAATTATTCAATTTGGAGGACGCAGAGCATTGATTGATTTAACACGTATGGATGACAAAACAATTTCTGAATTGAATGATCATTTGTAAATATGACCTTTAGATGATGGTAAAAGAGAACGAATAGTTTCAATTATAATATTCGGACGGTAAAAATTCGTTAATCGTAAGTAAGGGACACAATCATAAATTATTACTATTTTAATTTCCAATAAAGAGATTGGAGAAATGTTTGAACCTAAAACACAGTAGGTTGACGCCATTTACTTTACTTATGTTAAATATTATCGTTTGTGTGCATACTATTATATGTTTTTATATACATATGTATAAGTATTTAGGGTTTTTTTCATCACAATTGGTTTCTAAAATTGGATCTTCCAATAAAAAAAAGTTCTTAAAATAATCAATCAATTTGGTCCCTGAAATAGGTACTACAAATCAATTTGATCATTCTGTTAGTTTTTCGTTAATCTTGACGAAAGATAACGAAATAGTCAAATTGATTCGCAGAACCCTATTTTTAGACGCCAAATTGAATAATTTTCTTTTTGAAGGACCAATCATGATAAAAATCTTAATATTAGTATACTGTATACACCTTATCAAGATTATGATTTCTTAAAACTATATGTTTGCACGTAATCCTCTAAAGAAAAATAACTATTCACAAGACGAGAATGATTGGAGGGGACCTAGCTCCGATTGATTTAAGCTTTCAATTGCGCACGTACTAATCAGTCAAGAGGGCATGATGCAACGCCGGTTTTTATCTTCCAACCACTTAATTAAATATTAAGCTCATCTTAATCAATAGCCCACGCTTGCTTGGGCAAGCAAAGACTTTTTTTCTGGGATTTCAGTTAATTTAATACTAATTTTACCCTTAAGGCACATGGTGTATTCTGAATACAATTAAAATCTCCAAGCATGCACGCACGCACTCGTTGACATTTGGTAAATTGGTTCTGCAAATTCGAATTCTTCATTCGTTCATCGATATTTTTTCACCACTTGCTCAAGATACATACATCGGTCCCATGTATTTTCAAGACGAACCACAAACAAACAAGCAGTGCAATTTGGTTCTCTGAAATGGAATTCATATTCATATCTTACACTGATATTGTGTTAAAATATGAACATTAAACGCTTAAAACCGGGGGCGGAGGGAAGAAGCACATTGTTTTGCAAGCCTTCCCCTCTAAACATCTTTCATTATTCTTCTTTACTACCCTTCTGCTATTAGTCAATAATACAAATCACATTATAAACTATCTCCCATTTAAAACTCCAACTCCCATATTTGATTCCATCCCAACGCTAATTTAATATTTATTTATTGGATATAAAATCAATAACCTTTAAACATTTTGATATAAAAAAATAAAAAAAAATTCTCATAACATTAAACCTCTTCACTTTTAATTAAAACAAAAAACTTCTCTAGTCTTTCTTTCACAGTGCAACCCAGAGCAAGAGTCCAAGACTAAAAAAAGCTATTATATTTCATATCTATTTTCATATAAAATTCAAATTAATTCAACAAAAACAATACTATTTGTAAAATCTATCTTACTTTCTATAAAAAAATTTTTTTTATTGTTTTTTGTCTATCTTGCATCTTAATTAAGTGTTAGAGTTTGGACCTTTTGATTAATTCTTCTTATTAAATTTAATAGTATAGATAAGACGTTATTATGCAACGGTTTCAAAATATGAAAATTCTTGAGAGACAATTATGATTATTGAAAATATATAAAATATTATAGATGCATGTGCCTATCTTAATCCTATCTTTAATACATACTCTATCAAGTAAGGAATCTCTATCACAATCAATTAGAGATATTCTCACCATTATTCTAAGATATCATCTTCTAATTAATATCTTGGAAATATATTTTCCTTGCGCATCCTACGGATGACATAACTTGGCCAATATGAAGCCAACATGTGTAGGGCAAAACCCTACACCATGACCAACCATTACCTCCTATAGATACCCTGATCACTTCCAAGTTCTGGTAAGCTTTTGCTACACATACAAGCCCTAAACACTCACTCTTTTCAGAAAAACTAACTTAAGCATCAGAGATCCATTAGCCAAACATCCGCACCTCGTGGTGAGGTTTTGGTCTATGATCAAAGGTGTTTATTGTTTTATATGTACACATTTGTCTAGACTGAAGACAACATATTTTTGCTACAATAATTACCGAGTAATGTAGTCGTAAACTGTAACCCTAGAAACTTTTTAAACTCATTTTGATTTAATGTTTTTACAGATTTTTTAGGATTTTCAATTCAATCACTTATGATTGGCTTGTGATAGCAAGAGTTCCTATTAATCCAATACATTCGGCAAGGTATGTCTTAAACATGGGTGCCTGCTGTGGATTTACAACATAAAGTTTTGTTTTTATTGTTTATTACCAACGATATTGCCATTATGGTTAAACTAAAGAAAAGAGGTTTAATTTTAAGATGCAATAACTTGAAAAGAAAAGTTATGCGTCTGAGCAATCCACTACTTACACAACACAAATAATCTAAAAAAATAAGCGGAAAAGTTACGTCAACATAGATTCTCTGAGAGCAAGCCCAGCGTTGGGTTTTGCTCAGGGGACAGGGGCGAAACCAAGGGCCTGAGGGCCAGGGGATCAGGTCCAGCGTAGCCCAGCCCGATGGAAGGGGGAGGCCCGAGCTCTGGGCTCGTGGAGGATTGCCAGCCCGAGAGCCCGAGGTGGGGGTGACGTAAGGCTGACGCCAGGGTGGCGTCAGCGCAATATTTAAATTTTTTTGTGTCAGGTGCGTGCACCCCACCCGCGCGTGGGGGCGCGTCGCCGACACAAAAATCAGAAAAAAAAAATTTTGTCAGTTACCGTTGGGAAGCCACGTGGCTTCCCACGGTGCGTTAGATCTCAACGGTCACTTTATTTAGACCGTTCGATCTCAACGGTA